ATAAGTTAGATTTGTGTTCGGAATGAGTTTTATTGGTTAAAAAGACGAAACATCAACCATGTACTTCGAATTCAGTTTCCATTCGTTTGATTTCAATAAAATCGTTCAGATTTAGTATTTTATTCAAATCGATAATAACTTATGATTTGTCGTTCAATAAAGATATTCTTGAATAAGTTCGTACGTCAAGTTCAAAACACTATTTCTTTTCTTTATTTCATGCCAGGAATTGTGAAAATATGCATATTCGTTGGCTACTCACTCATAATGACTAATGATAAATCAACTGCTCATTTGTGGTTCATGTTGTCGTGTATAAAAACATATGGTTTCGATGCGAAATGACAGAATACAGCAAAAGAATTAAACAATAGTCTATTTAAGAATTGTATCGTTTTCTATCTCAATGTATTTTTTTTTATAACAAACGATGATATCACTTTTTCCTTGCAACCATAGATTATTATAGACACCTGATGAAATATTTAACCTGATCGAAATCGCAACCATGGGAGTTTACTCATGCTCACTTCTGTTAATCCTTTTCTTAAATCAGAATGAACATCAACAATATTGTCATTGTTAAACTTTTTTTCGACTATTTTAAAACACACGTTAGAGAATTAGATCGAAAAATAGAAAAGATAATAGTGTGATTTATATTTTTAGAATTGAAAATCGATAGAGTAATGTTTTACTATGGTTGTTGTATCGTCTTACATCAATTTAATAAAATAAATCATGCATTTCCAACTGATACCAGTTTGACTAAAATATTTGGTATACATCCACCGGTGTAATTCTCATATGGATATGCTGATTCGTTACCCGTTTTCTTCCATAACCATGTTGTTGGATCTATGACTGAAAGTTCCTTTCCATTCATTTCATTGAGATAAATATAGCGTGTATCTTGATTTATTGGTTGTGCAAGTGCATATTCAAATCCTTTTGTCTGTCTTGCATGGTTGCACATGGCTACACGTAATTGTCTAGCAACACCTTTGACTGAATGGTGAGCTCGCGTAGCACCCATTATAATATGTAAGACCATGTTCGATTTCGATTGCTGACCAAAATCTTGATTAATAAATATATATTTTATATTTATACTTTTTTTTTGTTAAATAATCGATTTTTGGTTCGCTTTCTTTGAACGTATGTGAATTAAAAAAATGAGAATTTGATTTTCTCCTTTATTTTGATAGGAGAGGAAATTTTTCGTTTTA